TCAAAATACTTACCAAATATGTTTGTGAACATACTATACAATAATTGTTTGTTAGTATGAATTTCATATGGCTCATTTGTTAAGCTAATGAATATGTAGAAAGTAATGGTCCTCAATAGCTCATTAATGCTCATTTAATTAAAGCTTAATAAGCACAAAATGAATCCAATATGAACATCTACATTTTAAACAAACCAAGTTTGAACAAAAAAAGAAAAATCCGCACAGAGATTCAACAAGCTGAAAATAAACGAGCTCATTTGTAATACTTCTGGCAGTACATTGTATTTTGTGTTTATGCTCAACATCTTCACAACAATAGATAACTCTATGTGAGTTTTGCACTCATTCTAAATTAGTTGTTGGGCATCATACAATAAATCATAGAAATTTTATGCCTTCGGGGACTCTTTCACTACAGGAAAATCACCCACTTCCGGCGGCTTTTTCCGGCGGAATTTGACCTATTTCCGGCGGTTTTTTAATTTTCCGGCGGTTTTCCGGCGGCTTTCGTGCCGCCGGAAAAAACGGCGTAGGAAAATAATTTCCGACGGCGTTTTCCGGCGGCAATATATTTCCGGCGGTTTGCCGGCGGTCAAAAACCGCCGGTTGAAAAAAAAAAAAAAAAAACAATTAAAAACTATTTAAAAAATAATTAAATTGCATAGATATTATATATGTTATGAGCTTATAGCCTTATACACATCTCAACGTTTCTTTTTAGTCCCATATCACTTGAAAATTTTTTGTTGCTAAAACCTTGTCATAAATCATGTCCTCGAACGTCCTTATATTTTATGCCTCAACTATATTAAAACTTTTAGGGCCGTAATGAGAGTTAGAATGTGGCTTGCACTCACCATGTGAGATCCAGTACCAATATTTTGTCATGAATCTTCAATGATATTGATCAATAGTAATCTTATTTCATGTAAGATATTGTTGATTTTAGTGTTTGGAGCATGAAAAACAAAACATCCTCTCTAATATAAAGGAACGTACTTGTCAGACCACATTGATGAAAAAATTCAGCTGATTGATGAATTTTTCTGTTAATGCCTTGCATTCCAAAAATAAATGGTTATACATCCAACATTTTGATCACAAATATCTATAGCACACTTGGGCAATAAATTTCTATAAGCAAATTAACATTCAAATTTTATCTTGCACAATTCTTTTTTTTCTCTTTTTTTTTTGACAAAAAACAAATATATTAATATTAAAAAAAAACAACAGTTACAACAGTAACATAAAAGGAAATAAAAGAGACAAAGGAAAAATTCAACTAAAAAAGCGGGCTCAGTAAAAGGCCGAGGCTTCCAGCGTCCTTGAAGCCTTGCACGGACCATCCAGTAAGGTGGAGACAGCGTCCAACTACCAACCGACCCGAAAAAAAAACCACACCAAAGGTTGCCACCAGCAAAACGACAAGGACGCGAATCTTGCACAATTCATAATGAGCACAATCGCATCAATTATAACAACTTCAATAACATGCTTAATGTCACAACCCAACCCGACCATGACATATCATATCGTGTTGAGCTGTGACAGACAAACCCCAAGATCTAATTTTAAAATTATTTCACTTAATAGGTCTACACAATAATCGCATTTCCTACTCACCTCTCCAAATTTGAAGAATCTATCCCAAAATTGAGGAACCCTTCCCCAACTTCGAGATATATATGATCCAATGTTCATACTCGTCATCATCACTTGTTCTTAATTTCAATGATATATCATTTTCAAGTTAGGGTCCAAATCATCCTATGTTCTTATTTTCAATGATATCATTTTTCCCTAAGTCTAAACTAACTAGCTCTACAATAAAAGAAAAAATAACAACACTATCACTAATAATCACTAACATCAATACTAACTATTACCAATATTATCACTATCACCAATGCCATCAAAATTTATGACATAATCCTTTGTTGCATCCTTTCAATTATATTTTCTATCAATTATCACATCCATGCATTACAATTGATTGTTTAAGCATGATTTATGTAGAAAATGGTTACCTTCATAATGAGCGAACTCTTAACAAAGAACAACGAGGTATTACCATCATATTTCAACAGAAAAATGGTTACCATCGGCTTGGTGTCGGCAAAGCAACCGAAGTCGAAGAGCCCAGATAGGAAAACGTCGTTGTTGAAGAAGGCAAAGTCGAAGAGCAATGAACATGCGAAGAAGAGGATCGAAAATCAACCAAGGTGAAGTAGCAATAAAATGGCGAGACGAATCCAAACAGAAGGAACGTTGGCGAAGCAAGTAAAGTCGAAGAGGAACGAGCAAGTCAGACATCATCGAAGCAGGCGAAGTTGAAGAGCAACAAATAAGTATAGAAAATGAAAATAAAACCTAGTAACTAAAGTAGGGCGCCTTCCAACAGAATTCCAGTGGAAATTCTGCCCAAAATTTTCGGCAGAATTTCCGCCATAAATTCTCTCAGGAAATTTCGGCGCACTTTCTGGTGGTAATTTGGTCGGTCTTTCCGATGACCAATATTCTGCCATAAAATCCGCTAAATATTCCCAATTTTACTTCAGTGAGAAATACATTTATGTGTTTTCTTATCACATCAAATGCAATTTAGATGCAACGTTAATGAGAAGTTTGAATTTTTTTTTTTTTTATGATTTATATGTTTATGTCTTCGTGTACTAAGAGTTAACAACAATTATATATATCTTTTTCTTTCATTCTTTTTTTTTCTTATTTCTTTTTTCTATTTCTATTTCTAAGAGCCAGAGGCTTGGAGATAGAAAAAGATAGAGATAGAGAGAAAAAAAAAAAAGAGGAGAAGGAAGATACATGAAAGAGAGAAAAGAAAAAGGGAAAATTATTCTGTGTGGATACTAGATCGGTCGGAAGCGAATCGATCAAAATGTGTCACATCACCCGGTATACAGCGGTACATAGTAAAAAATTGATGTGACACATTTTAATTCACCTTCAGACAGCATCCGTATCCACACATAATAATTTTAAAAAATATACATATAAAGAGATACAAAAGAAAAAAAAAGTGGGAGAAAAAGTAGGAGAGATTGGAGAGAAAAAGAGAAAGGGGGAGAGAGAAGAAAGACAAGAGAGATAGCGAAAAATAGAAAATGGAGAAAAATAGAAAAGAGAAAGAAAGATAAAAATAGGCAGTGAAAAGGAAAAAAAGTAGATACAAAGACAAATTGATATATAAAGATTGGAAGAGGGAGAGAGTGTGTTACGAAAATCAAGAGAGAAGGAATGGTGCAGAAGGGTTCATGCGGGACTGACTGGCCCAGGACGGTTGTGGGTCATACAAATATCTTCTGGCTCGTGTCGCGACTTTTTTGTTTCCATGCGCCACAAATCCCAGCCTTCTTCCGGCGAACTCCCTTTGCGGTTCCTTCTTTGTCGCAAAGGGTTTTGAGAATTTTACCAGAGCGGGAGGATGAGAGTAAAATATTTACATGTGAAATCTACAAGTGTATTTAAAATTTTAAGTCAAGTGCGTCAAAAGCGCAGGCAAAACATGCAGTTAAAATGCAACATAGGTGACAAATTTTAAGTAAATATCCGGATATATTTTTAGGTCCGGTGTCTCGACTTAATAATTTCCCCGAGGTGAGAGATGCAGCAGAGAATTTTTTTCTTACAAGGTCACGAAATTTGAAATCTATATTGAAAATTAAAAAGTTAAAATCGAGATTGAAGCATTTCACTTTAGGTTTTATTTAGGAAGATTTTCTTAATATTTTTTAAAACATATTTTTTGTTAAATTTTTTTTAATTAAAAATTTCTTAAATAAAACATCCCCTAAGATTCAAAATGTAAAGTCTCAAAAGTCAAAACAGTTAAAAAAAAAATTCATAAATATAACATAAATTATTATAATATTTATTTATTTCATCATCATAAAAATATAAATAAAAAAATTGTAAGCTTAAATGTTTACATAAAACATACCGTTTACTCGGTTGGAGATGCCCTTACTCTCGATGCGCTCCCGATTGCAGCTGTAGCTCTCGATGGGCTAAAAGACCTCTTTCACTCGGCTCAACGACCTCTCTCTCATGCAGGAGACTCTCGATCAGCTCTCACTCACACTCTCACGAAGAAGATGAAGAAGATGACTCACTTTCTCTCCTAAAGTTCTTGCAACCCTAACCTCAATATATATTAATATGATAAGACAACATTATAAATTATCTTTTTACACAACTTTATTGAGGCATCAAAGTCTCAAGGTGTTAAATCTCATAATAAAGGACATAAGCCTCATTGATAACATTGAAGTTTAAGGTTTCATTTGATACAAATTCCTTATTATTTTTTAAAAAATAATAAAAAAATTGTCCCAAATAAAACTCAAGCCTTAACCATTTATTGAGCACGGACATGCATCTCAAGTCATATGCCTCGAATGCATTTTTATATCAAGAGTTGGATTATATTCAACCATGATGATGAATGTTACAATTAAGGCTTCGTTTGGGACAGCTTCCTTGATGTTTCTTAAAGCAACTTTTTAGTACAAAAATTAAAATTTATATATTAAAAAAATGCTTAAAAAAGCAGCGATAAAGTCATATCAAACGAAACCTAAGACTTCCTTTACGACGGCTTTTTTATTGCTTCTTAAACGTCTTTCTAGTTTAAAAATTAAAAATTTTATAATCGAAATTTGTTTTAGAAAGCAGTAAAAAAATCATCTCAAATGAAACCTAAAAATTCAAACCAAGTTTCAAAGTAGATTGCACGCTCTCCCTTCAGAATTAATTTTAAACATTAATTTTATACAAACACTGAGCATCTTCAAGGGATAATAACTGTAACCAGGACAACAGAATTGAAGGCATCCTTTTTTTTTATTTTTTGAAGGCATCCTTGGATAGTACAGTCAACTAGGCCACAAAATTTACACACAAGAAATTTATTTCATCTTACGTTGAAGTAAAGATAAAATACTGCCACATAATGCTGAAATACACAATTCCAACTATTGCTAAAAAATAAATAGAGAAATCATTAACTTCCGTATATGTTTGTGGTCTCACATAAAGCTCCTTTACATGACCCGAAACTCATCCGTATAACATGTTGAACACTTGAACCAACATAAAATGCAAGTCAGTACTTTACAGGATTCAGCCCACCCTGAGCTGAAAGATAAATATCGGACAGAAGAAACCCCCCATTCTCAGGAACGGAAAATTATTAAGTCCGGTCACCTGACAGAGAGATACATCCGGATTTTTCTCTGTCTACAGTAAAAGTGCAGTCAAAGCACAGCTGCAACAGTAATTGCACTTTGACTGCGCTTTACTGTAGATAGAGAGAAATCCGAATGTATTCCTATGTCATGTTACCGGACCTAATAATTTGCCCTCAGAAACATAACGAGCCAGAGACGGTCCACATTAAAAGCTCAACTAAACCAGGCCTCCACTATCTTCTCAATTAACAATGGAGTATCTACAGAATCTGTTAATCGTGATTCTGAGAAGGCACATCCTCCATGACTAAGAAGATGAAGGTTCTTCTGCGCCATTAAAAAAACTTATAGCTCCATCCAGTAGAGCACATGAAGCAAGAGACCAAAGACATATGGAACAATACTATGGGCTTCGAGTTCCTGGACTGCTTATTCTTACACGGTGAGCTACAGCTGATAATGGTCTACCAACAGCTTCTAGAATCCGACTGAACGCAACTTTCACAGGAACGCACGTTACAAGAGGTACTGACTCTTCTGGTTTAATCAAACCTCTCAGGAGATCATTGGAAATGTCAAGTTTATGACCATCAGTTGCAAGAGAAGATAGTGTTCTTGTCTTCTTACTAGACAAGCTTATCCTCTTTGCATTCTTCTTTTGGAATTTCCTTAAACCTGATTGATGAACAAGAGAAACTCTCTTCTTACACGGCCTCACCTGATGTTTTAAGTAGTGATAGTATGCTTCTTTATGTAATGGGGGTTTGCTTTCACGCCCTGGAGATTGGAACAGGTCAGCTTCGTCTTCCTCCAAGGCCGCCATCAAAGGAATAGAACGAGGAACTCTCTGCATTGCAGTTCTTCGTGCCGTCCGCCACATTGCTTGCGGAGCTGTGCTTTCGTCCATAACAGCTTCGTGTACTGAAACGAGGTGACTGAGAGAGCCATCTTCCAGTATTTCAATCTGTATGGGATGCCCTATTATTGCCTTGCCATTAAGTCTGCTCATTAGTGAAACCAGAGGAACATGCTCACCTTGATAGCTAGTTTGAACCTTCAAATCCACATCTACCAATAGGGGCTCCATTTCCATACCAGTATGAGGAGCATAAACCCGATCAAATAGTTCTGCTGGTTCCTCCCAGAATGGGTTGCAAGTCAAATCTGAAGGCTCCCAGACAGATGGGTTTAGACCGTGGGAATCCTCATCAGAATCATTGAGGCTGCCAGATTGCACAGAAATTCTCATATTACTATATTCAGTCAACTGGTTCTGATCCAAATCTTTATCAATCAAATCATTCTCATCATAAGCATATTCAAGCTCTTCCTTTATAGGGTAAAAGCCCCGACCTGGAATTATTTGGCTGGCTGTTTCTGTTCTACCAAACTTCAAAGTACCTTTGCTCTCATATGTTGAATTAATGGACCCATTGCATTTCTCTAAATCAAGACAGCATGGCTTTACATCACCTGAATCCAAGAGCCTCTTTCCTACATTTCTAATGTTTCGTTTACCCTTCATACGCCACTTGGAAACTCCAGCCTCAGGAGAAGCAGTTTTAGCCTGCTCATGTAGCTGGGAGATAAATCCAGAGAGAGGAACGTCCTCCTGGATCATGCTCCTGAACCCTCCTGAAACTTGAAATTCAGGAGGATCACAATCTTTTGAACCCGGTAACAGTATATCAGTTGTATCTGCAAATTAAACAGTAAAATGAATGTTAATGAACAGAATAGCAACTCAAAAAAAGAAAATAAAAGAAGCTGATTGGAGCAAAATAGAGATCGTTAAAAAATAAAATCAGTAGATGAAAAAATATCCAGGACTAAACACAGATTCAGTGGTTAAATTTGCAAAGAGGAATTGCAGAATACAATGAAAATACAAGAAGATAAATTTTTAAAGATATATCGTATTGTAAATATGCAATTTTAAAACTAAAACTAATTTTACAAATCACAAACATAAGAATGATTCCTTGCCGATTGCACTTATGCAAACTTCACTAATAAGTCCTCAATTTCTTTCAATAACTTCTGCATCTACATTCAAATCAATCAAATCTCGCTATATCTAGGAAGTAAAATGGTCACCCCTGAAAATTAAGAAGTTTTAACATATTACTTGAAGCCTACTGAACTATCCTGAAAGATTTCTCATGTATTTGAATTTTATTTTTAAACAATTCAAAGCCTAGCGAAAAAAAAATTATGACCCAGTTCTTGGAGAATGTTGTAACTCCAAGATGATGAATTTGAGTTACATATCTTGTGATTTATCGTTCACCATTTTGAGAAAAAAAAAATCAAAACCTTGATGTCTACAGCCAACTTCATCACTGGCACTATACTGCCTGAAGAAAGAAAAAGTAACAGATTCACATCAAAGGAAGGTGCTAACTCTCGACTTCTTTATTAGCAAGGGGTAGGGATGGGGATTGATTACTTGCAAATTTTATCCAAGAAGAAAAAAAAGGAAATAATTATATCCAAATTATTTCAGCCATCCATTTTATGGATCCACCATCAACTACCTCCCAATTTTATTCAACTTGCAAATTTATCTTTCCCCACAAAAAAATCATTAATAGATATAAACATCATACTATCATATTATATCTTCTAGACTACAGAACCCTACATCAACAACTTTGTCATACTGAGATCAGCTTCAGAAAAGAAAATCTTCATGAAAGTTTCTACTTCCAAGAATCTCATTTCATCCTACTTTTAAAAATACCGCCTTTTCGTAAGTTTGATCCTTTTAAGCACCTAAAGCCATCCAAATTTATTAGCAATCACTTAATATGACAACATTAATTTTGAAGCAAAGTTTCTTGGGGTGGATGTTTGAAGCAGAAAATAAAAGAATAAAGAGAAGTGTCAAACTATTTCTATCACCCCAGAAAAAGCTCGCCGCTGCTCACATCATAAAGTATTTGCGACACTTCTAGAAGCGTACTAGAAAAGCCAATAAGACTTAAATTCAACACAAACATAAGAGAACATCTGTAATATATTCCGGCAAACTTAAAAACAAAGTTACTCTACAACAAAATTACAGACGGACCTAAAACTGAAAGCCGAACGCTTTTTAAAAAGTTTTATGCTAATCTGTAGAGAAGTCAAAAGAAGGTTACCCAATTTGTTTCATAAAAAGTGCAATCTGGATATTAATGTACATAACTTTGTTTTCCTATTAAATGGCACGACCAATAAGCAATAACTTCATGCTCAATTAAACTATAAGAGTAATTCCATTTTACTAGATAAGTGGAATAGAAAATATAAGGAAGCAAACGATTGCTTTTGATTTGCAAATCAGGGAAATGATAAGATCAGGGTGCGCGCAACTGATAAGATCCGTGCCAGCTAAAGCAAAACAGAAGCCAGGTTACAATGTGTTAAAAAAAAAACTGATACCTATCAACATATCCGTTTCTTCTACCATATCTGGTTCCAGAAGGTCACCTTCACAACAATCAGAGTCATTCACTTCAATTAAACAAGAAGAGGTACATACTTCACCCATGTTTCCTGAATAATTGATGTCATTGCACATTTCAAATTGATCTGTTGATGCTAGCATATGTTCAGAAGTATACCCACCATGCTCAGGATGGTCATCCAAATCAGAAGGTAAATAAACACATCTGCTCCGTTTCGCCCGCCAAGTAGAAGCCATTTTATCCATTTCTTCTGTCTTTGAAGTTCCAGTAGCACTACAACAAGGCTGAAAAGAGAGCGGAGGTAATTCTGCACTGCTTTGCAAAACTTGAACAAGAGGCCGACGCCGATCACGCTTTCTAACAAGAAATTCATCAATGACAGTGCCATATGATCTCTTCCTTTTGACTGACACATCATTTCGGCTAGTGCTAGCTTGATCTGCTCCCTCCATACTATACCCAGAACTGGGAAGGGAATCCACATGATTATCAATAGATTTGCAAGAATTCTCCCAACTGCTGGATAGAGATGGTTTTCTCTTAGATTGTGCCGTTCTAAGTCCAAAATCTTGTAAACCTCTCATCCGAGGAATGGCTTCAGCATTATCATGTTCTACACTGAAATGCTGGTTACCTCTTCCCTCATGCAAATACGAGGGATCATCAATATCACCTCCTTCATGTGAAAAAACTACCTTTTTAAGAAAACTTCCACACTTGTAAGAGGATATTTTTCCACGTGCAACAGGCTCATCATGTTTTACATGGATTTCTGGAGAAGAAAAAGTAATTGGCTCTCTTTTATAAGTTCCAATGGCTTTATTGCTAATGCCATTTAGAGAAGTCCCTAATTTTTGCTTTTTCTCAAGCTCAAGGGCATGAAGAATAGCATCTTCTCTACGTGCATATTTCTCCCTTTTTTTAATGGGAATGCTTTGGGAAGATTCAGCCCTCTCAATACAAGCATCAAACTCTCCACATCGAAATGCCTTCACCCGTTTAGATTTTTCCAGGTTGTACCAATCCCTGAAATAAGCAAGAACTAAGTTCGGAATCAGATTGAAAATTAAAAAGTTTATCCCTAGTTAGCATGCTCTGCCAATTCGCCAAGTAACAGAGCTAAAAAAAATTGGGAGGCATGTTTAAAAGCACAGTATATGTTTGGAACATACGTGAATAAATGTAATCACAAAAAATGGCTAAAGCATATTTACGACCTGAATCCTAACCAAAGTGCCAAAAATGAAAGCTTAAGTTGGCCAGAAGTACATTTCAAAACATCAATTTACAGATTATAAGTGATGTGATGCCCATTTATTTTGACATGCTCTTTCAAACAGGGATGTGAAGCATCAACCAAGTTTTCAGTATGGATGATATTAAGAACTGCAAGAATTATGTGACTGCTTGAGAAAAGGGAAAATGATATCAATTAAGGATAAAATACATTAAGCAACTAAAATATATCCAGCAAAGTTCATAACAAAAATAAGAAGATTATAATTTGGGATCAAATCCAATTTTCTTCAAAGATTCATACATTTCATAAACATCCTATTAGTATTGCACACCATTGATGGAGATATGGAAGTCTATACTGTTATAAAGCATTGATGTTTCCTGTTCTATTCAATAATAGTCTGAAACAAATGAAAGATAATCCAAATGTGAAACTAGATCACATATTTGACGTGGAACATATGAAGATAAGCCGCCAAGCTACAGATCCTGAAGTTGCTCTTGATCTTAGAGTTTTGGAAGGATGTTGTTGAATCCAGAGAGGAAGTGCAGGCTTGGCTCATTAAGCGAAGGACCTTGTTAATATATTATCAAACCGAATAATACTGGAGCAGGGAGGGGGGCATGCTTGCATGCAATGATAACATTAGTGTTAAAGTCTTTATTTAGTTCATAGGTTGCCAACTGTCCTCTTTAAGCAGGCATTTGATGCTTGCCGAGGCATCGAGAGGATTGCAGATCTTATAAGATAAGAAAGCAGATGAAGGCACAAGGTTAAATTGTGCTACTGCTACTATTTGGATTTATCCCCTTTCTTTAATTCCTCTAGGACAGTTTATCCATCAGTCTTTGTCTGATTTCAATTTTGAACCGATCCATTTTAATTTCTCTTGGGAGAAGGTGTATTACGCTTGGGTGGTGGCAACAATTGTGTTTCTATTTATCCTTGTGAGTTGTGGCTAACCTTCACTCCTCCAGGGACTTCTAGTCTATTCCAGTTTTTGACTTGTGTTTGCCTCATCTAAGACTATTTTTAGATGGGAATTTTAAATTTTGGTTTTATTCTTCCTAAACTATTAACCTTGAGTCATGTGAAGTCTATAAATAGTTAACTTATGGCATGCGAGATTTAGTTTTTAATTCAATAAATATCATATTTAGATTTTCAATCAGATATGTAATTCTTTTCTAGTCTGGCATAGGTGCAACTACTTAATAATGGAGGAAGTAATCACAATGTTCTGATGTGAGGCCTGAATTCTTCTTACTTTGGTGATGCCTTCATTTATCAATTTTTTTTTCTTAATAATTTGTTACCGAAGTTCTTGATTTTGTTCGAATTTGATACAACTGCAATTCTAATTGCAGTAAAAAACTGCAATTATTCATTGGATTCTGCAAGGCTCTAATTTCTTATTAAATCATTGCATTATCATTATCAATTGAATGCAATGAATTTATTTATTTGCATGCATTTTGGGATCTAAAGTAGTTGTCAATACCATATATTTGCATCTACGAAGCTAGTTGGCTTATAATATGCAAGTGGTCCTTTACAAATAAATTTGCCCAACCAAAATTGGCCTATGAATTTGGCCCCAAGATCAATAAAAGATTGGCTCGCATTTGGTTTGAACCGAGCTTGAATCAAATCAACAAGCCAATCCCAACTCGAATCAAAGATGAATTTAGATTGGCTTGGAATGAATGAAGTTAGTTCAAAATTTGATCAAAATGTTATGCATGTATGTATGAATGCATCTACACATTTACTGCAGTTATGTTTATATCCATCCATATATGCAGTCCTATCTACATGGTAAGAATCTAAATTTATAGATGCATGAAACTATGCTAAAATAAGAATTTGCTTTAGAAGAATAAAAATGGATAAAAAACATATAATTTTTCATTCTTAAGCTAAGGTTGTATCAACTCATGCTCAAATCATCAGCGGCACTTAAAAGTTATAATACTAATAATTATTAAGAAAGTAGCAAATGAAACAATGCTAGGGATTCCCATTTTTTAATGCAATAACAACAATAAACTAAAGAAATTTTCAGTATTATGTCATTGAAATAGTGAAACACAACGTGACGAAGTGCTAATGGCAATATTTACTATAAATATACAAATGTAACTATCCATGGCAATATTTGCTCAAAAGTCAAAATAAGTCCAGATTGATGAAGTCAAACAAGATGACCTAACTCATGAATAAATAAAAACCTTTCAATAAATTTATTGGCAATCAAGATTAATGAACTAAGATGATGAAAGGCAGGTAGGAATAATAATCAGTAAAAGTTGGACACATAACTTCCAGTAGAATTACAGTTTATAGTCAAATGCATTAGTTCGATACTACATTCTTTTTAGTAAACAAAAAACTTTTAACTGCTTAAAAGGAAATTCACCATAGGCCTTTGACAAATAACAAGTACTTCACAACGTAGTCCTGCTACAGGGTTTGCACTGTGAAAACTTCCCATGATTATCAGCAAACAAAATGCAAGAGTGCCACAAACTTCTCATGCATCTCATAAATAATCAGAGCATATTGGTTCGAGTTTGGATCTGCTTTCAAAAGCAGCCAACAGATTGCAACGACAAAATTTCTGCACATCGACATGAGAATTAAAGCATTCCTGTGAAGCATGCAAGACTGATGCATAAATGAAAAATCCTAATGCCTTAGAAGCACCGCAGCCTCGTAGACCGTCTCCATTCCAACAATATTCATTTGAACGAAATGATGAACAAAACATACTGGCTGAGCTAAGCAAATCACTAAACAGTTAAAAGACAACATTGAAAACTTTTCTGTTTCTAAACAGAAGAGATACAATAATTGTTAAGAGAAACTTGCTCATCAAAAAACACCTATGTGCGTTCATCGATCGAAGTGAAAGAGTCCAATATGTAAAAGTGCAGAGGTGAGAGCAAGCTCACACGCTGGCATCTTCTCTCCCGAGTAGCTTAACCGGCGTTCCGGATCTCGGTGACATCAGGTGAGATTCCGACAACTCGTCTAGCCCGAGAATACGCCCAGGCCACCAGGACCCGTTCCTCCGGCGAACCCAGACGATGTTGCCCACGCTGCAGTCGAGGCCGATCCCGCCGCCGTCGGAGGCCTCCATTTGCACTTCGCGACTGAGCGGAGAGCGAAAAAAACCTAGAAAACCAGCTCTCGTCACTGGATTTCACCCGCCGGAAAAGTTTACTGGTTCGCCGGAGTTTATCCAAACGGAACGGATCTGATCGGGTACCTTACTGCGTCCTAGGGTTTCCATTCACACCAAGACAACTTCATCGCCTTCGAGCTGCCTACATGTGAAACTCATGAAAACGCTGCCGCCGTTTCTCCGCACTTTGTGGGTCTCAGGTCTCGATGCCGATCAAAAAAAAATCAACTGTTTTGATTTGGCTTTATTTGAGATTGTATTTTTATTGCTTTACTTTTGCCGCCACAATTTATGTTTTGCCATTATTTATGTTTACTTTAAAAAAAAATGTACTAAAAAATAGCTTTTTACAAGTTTAAAAGTTACTTTCTCTAAAACATTTTTACAAAGCAGTAAAAAATCATCCCAAACAAAGGCTTGGTAAGAAGAATTTGCCCAAATTCACCACATTTGCATTTCTGTATTAATGTTATTGTGTGCTAAAACAATCATGACGGTAGAATTATGTAGATTTAGCTTCATAGATTTACACTAAAATCAAACACATAGATAAGAGAGAGGTGCAAGTCATAAGAGACAGAGTTTTTACGTGGAAAACCCTTAAAAGGGAAAATCATTGGGCTTGGCTTAGTTAAAATGATTCTACTAGTGTGTTGTGATGGATTACAATTGATGTCCTTCTTCGTTGGAAGGCCTTGGTTTAATGTAGCAAATATACATCATATAAGACACATTACATGGTGGAGTTAGAAGAATCCAATGACATGAAAGTTATTTACAAAAGAATGTTGGCCTATTTATTTAGTCGGTAGAATCGTAGTCAGGCGATAGAGGGCGGAGGGAACATAGTTTTGTGATTGAGGTTGGAAACACTATAGTCGGGTGACTGTGGTCGAAGAGATCATTGTTGGGTGATTGAGGTTGTATAGTCCATAGTCAGCGGGTGATAAAGGA